CCTGCCTCTGCCTCCCGAGTGCTGGGGTCAAAGGCGTGCACCACCATGCCCAGCCTGTTTTTAAGTTAACATTGTGAGCTGTGAGGACCAAGTGATGCACTCTATTTGAAGAGTTATCATGGTGTCTACATAGACAGCTCAAATAGTAAAATAACACAACCTGGCCAGGTGTGTATTTGGAAATTACAGGCAGGAGGATCAGGAATTCAAGATCATCCTCATCTTACATAAGCAAGTTCAAGGCCAGCCTGGGCTACATAAAACCCTGACTCAAAAAAAAAAGTCAACTTCATTTACTGATGACTTGTTATATAATAGATAGTATTTTAAGTGCTTTACAAGTGTTCACTAGTTTAACATTTAGCAGTTCTATGAAGAAGTTCTATTATACCAATTTCAAGTTAAGGAAAGTGAGTTTGGAGAAGTTATAAGCTTCTGTATGCAAAGCTACAATATCAATTCATCTTCACAAAGCTAAGTGAGTCAAGGTTTAGAGTCTATTTCATCCAGAGCCTACCCTGGACAAACTAGAATCAGGCTCCCTAGAACAACTGTTGTCCCATCTGGAACTGGAAGTGAGAAGACCTTAGGGTCTCCCTTCAGCCTGTCTTTCCCTCGTGGCTGGCCCACTGGAACGAACATGTAATTGTCATGGGCCAGCTTTGAGACAGAGGCACAAAATACTAAGTACCCCAAGTGGGAAACACTTTGCTGGCTTTTTGAGGATACGTATAACCAAAACAAAACAAGCCAAAAAACAAACAAACAAACAAACAAAAAAACAGTGCTAGAGTTTTGCATAAAAGAAAAATTCAAACCCTGGGTCTCCTAGAAAAAAAGTTGGGGTCTTATGTAAAGCCACACAGGAAAATATTTGAAAACTGGAAGGAGAGAGAGAGAGAGAGAGAGAGAGAGAGAGAGAGAGAGAGAGAGAGAGAGAGAGATCCTGTCTCTCCCTCTCACTGTGGCTAGCCACGAGAGAAGATTTCACATCAAATGTCACTCGATCGCTAAGAGCATTGAAACATTTCCACACCCTGAGAGCAGTCATCCAGGGAACCGGGTGAACAAGAACTGACAGAGAAAGAACTCTTCACCTGGCATCTGAGCAGAGCCAGCTTGGCAAGAGCATGAAGCTGAGCACAGGCTGGGCCCCCGTCGGAAGAACGGGAAAGCGACACAACTGCAGTGACTCTGCAGCCACCAGCAGACAGGGAGCAGTTTTCTAAAGTGGCACCAGTCTCTGTGGGGCAGGGGAACGAGCCCGTACGGACTCAAGAGGGCGTCACGTTGTCACATGAGAACGCGTGGAATTCTCGGATCAAGGTGTTCCTAGGATAATGATGAGCTACAGCTGAAGACCATGGTTCACTATTCCTACAAGAGGCCAGGAAACAGAAGGTCCAGAGAGAGACAGGCCACCGGAATCGACATTTGAACAGATGTTCTAACGTGATTCAGAGAAGCAGCCAGGGCTGAGCATCAATGCACAGCAAATCGGGGTAGAAGAGGAGACACTGACATTCATAGACAGGCACAGCCCTAGCAATCAGATCACAGCTGTTTCCGGCGGAACGAAAGGGATGAGGATGAGGAAGAGCTGAAGCCTCATGATCAAGAGGCTGGACCAGCTAAGCTGACCTGAGAGCAGCACTCAGCGCCTCAGGACTACAAACGCCTGCTGCATAAACTCTCCCTAACATGGTTTGATTCACGTCTTCATTTGAGATTTTGCTCTCATTTAATTGGGTTCCTTTTGAAAAATCCCAACTTCATAACAGTTAACTAAAGTGAAAAAGAGTTTGTCCATATCCGGAGTAAATGAGCCAGGAGAATCCAGTCTCTTTAAGAGGCAGAATGGAGAAAGCAGGCCCTCGCTGGAGAATGGCAGCGGCATGGATGGGCCCACTGGAGAGGCAACACACTCTTCTGAATGCCTGACAGGCACAGGCATTACTATTTCTACTTTATGTCCTGAATTAATAGTGGAGAAAATAGTCAGAAAAGTTGGATTCTATGCCCAAGAAGACAGTGAACAGCAGAATGAGGTTTGAACCTGGGTTTATGAAACAATAAAGGCCACATTCTCTCTACCATATGATTTCGATGCAGCTAGAAGGGAGGGGAGTCTGGAGCACAGAACCACCAAGGGAGGCACACAGAATGACTTTCTCTCCAGCTAAGTGTTCATTGTCCCTCAGCACCCAATGAGAAGCCAACCTTTGCAGTGGCTAGCTGTTCTGTCTATCACCTTGAAGCACCACCCCCAGAGATGTAACTGCCCTAAGTACCTGCCCCTGGGGCATGGCTCGGGGCTACTCTTAAGACTTGAGACACACTGTAGGCCGCTCTCTTCACTCCCTCATGGGACAGTCTCAGACGGAAGAACAGCGTGGGACCGTGCCTCACCTTTTCCAGGACCCTTCGACAATTCCTCTGTTCTGTCTTGTGAGTTTTCCTTTCTTAATAAATCCCTTTGCCCTTTGAGCAGACTCCATGGATTTCTCACTTTAAACCTTGTTCTCCGAGGATCCAGAGAACTGAGATAAAGGTTCAGTTTATCACCCAGATGAACCACCCACTTCCCCTATGTTGTTTCAAGATGGGGTCCTACAGAGATTCTGCAGATATTCAGAGATCTGGAGTCTCAATGTAAGCTGAAGGAATAGAGCAGCAGGTCACACATTGACCTCCAACCTCATTCTGCCATAGCCCAAGAAGATTCTCCCCCAAACCCTTCTTCCATAGTGATATTTGTCTAACAACCCACACGGCTTCTTCAGTGCGCATGCTGATCTGCACTGACCCTGCTTGCGTCAGGTGGCCTTTACCTATAGCAGGTTTTCTTTTGGGCCACCAACCAGCTCCCAAATCACGACACTGAGATTTCTTATTAGTTATGAATGCTCGGCCTTAGCTTGTGCTTGTTTCTGGCTAGCTTTTTTTCTTTAACTTAATTTAGCCTGTTTCTCTTCATCTACGTTTTGCCTTGGGGCTGTTTACCTTTCTTTCCTTCTGTATGTCCTACTCTGTGTCTCTCTCTCCTAGATTCCTCCTCCTACTTATTCTCTCTGCCCACCAGCCCTGTCTGTCCCTCTTCCTGCATCGCTGTTGGTTATTCAGCTTTTTATTAGACCAATTGGGTGCCTTAGGCAGGCAGAGTAAAACAAATGAAACACACCCTTACGTAGTTAAAGTAATATTCCACAACTTTTGCCATGATGTCTCTTCAATCTATCTATAGCTTAAGTTGGCCCTTATTGATACCTCCATAGGTACTTCAGAACATTGCTTTCCATCAAATATTTCTAAATAGGGAATATTTCTCAGAGGCATCATAAATTAAGGGAAAAGGGGGCAGCTTCAGGGCCCAATCTGACTGAGGGTGTGAAGAAAAAAAGCAGGCAGAGGAAGAGAGATTTTGGAAGAATATGTCTTGCTAGTAGGAAAAGGTATAAGAGAAAGGATTGGGTGTGTCTTAGTCAGTATTCTATTGCTGTGGAGAGATGCCATAACCCTGGCAACTCTTATAAAGAAAACATTTAACTGGGGCTGGCTTATAGTTCAGAGGTTTAGTTCATTATCATCATGGTGGGAAGCATGGTGGCATACAGGAAAACATGAAGCTGGAGAGGTAGCTGAGAGTCCTACAACTGATCAGCAGGCAGCAGGAAGAGAGAGTGACACTGGACCTGGCTTGACCATTTGAAACCTCAAAGCCCACCCCCAGTGACACACTTCCTCCAACAAGGTCACACCTACTCCAACAAGGCTACAATGCCTAACAGTGCCACTCCCTTTGAGCTTACGGGGCCATTTTCATTCAGACCACCACAGAGGGGTTTTGTTTTTAAATTTGTATTATTAAAATTGTGTTTGCGCATGGTATATGTGTGATACATGTGCTACAGCACTCACGTGGAAGTCAGAGGGCAACTCTATGGACTTAGTTCTCTCCTTCCACCTGCATGGTGGGAGTTCTTCATGAAGTTCTGGGGACTGAACTCCAGTTGCCAGGTTTTTGCAGCGAGCATCTTTTCCTGATGAGCCACCCCAACAACCCCCAGGGAAGTTTTAAGGAATAAAAGGGAAAGGAAATCTCCCACAGAGAAAGTTGGGAGAGATTGAGTGTAAGATCTGGATGCATGTCTCAGTAGGTTCTTAGTGAGAAAATTCAGGGCAGTCAATGTAACTTACTAAAATGACACAGTCTAATTAGCATCACAGCTAGGCACAACCCAGCACAACTGTGCTTTCCATGAGAGCACGCACAAGATAGACTTGCAGAAGCAAAGGAAGAATAGAGGCCATCAGTAATCAGATGGAAGGCTGCCTTCAAGACTAGCAATCTCTAAATTAGACAAGAAAATTTACTGGGCTGGAAGAAAAAGACTTACATACTTAGTCTAAATTATATATATATATTATATATATATAAAATCAGTAGATCAGTAGTATGGTAATATTACTTATATTAAATATGAAGTCGACTACAATGAATATTCACATTTTTTTCTGATGGTATAAAAACTTACAGACTATTATATCAGACTACAAGCACAATCTTCACAAAACCCTTAAAAAGGCAGTGGAGAGCCAGATACAATGGCAACACATCTGTAAAACTAGCTACCCAGGAGGTTGAGTTGACAAGATTGTGAGTTCAAAGCCAGTCTTAGCAAGACCTTGTCTAAAAAATAAAAGCAGTGAAATAATAGAAGGGAGCAGACTTAGCACTCAGAGAGGAACATATTTCAGTGCCAAGTCCAGCTTCTTGGGACTTCTATTACCCATGTAAAATGGAAATAATGGAATTTACAATTTAGGCTTATTCTGAGGAATGAGTAAAATATACAGGGTCCCAATGATACTGCCTTGCACACTGAGCTCTACAAGAACTTCTTGTAGACATTCCTGCCAACAAAGGGTGAATGATCCTCCTTTCATTGCTGTTACACAATATACCCAAGAAATCCATGAGCATCCAGCTGGCCAGAGCCAGGAAAACTCTGAGTACCCAACCAGCACCTAAGAGCCATGAGGAGAGATCACTCATTCTCCTCCTTGTTGGCAGAAGAGTGTGACATTGTGTAACGTTGATGTTTGAACAAAAGCCAAGGGAGGAAGGAGTCAATATCCCTGGGTTCAAAGAGAGACCTGGTGCTCATGTCCTGGCTTGTGCAGGGCAGCTCTATTACCTGCATCCTGCCTGATACTGCTGTTGCTGCTGCTGACTGATAAGGTGAAAATGGTTGGTTTTCAAATCCTTTTGCACAGAATTAGCTCCTCTGAGACTTCACAGAACTCCTGTTCCACAGACTTATCACATCGTGATCCCTGAGTTGTATACACCACCCCCAGGACCTCTATTAGTATATTCATCAGGGTCTGACCTGAAAACCTACTCACAGTCCCATCATAGTACCTGCTTGAGACAGAAAGACTTCCTTTGTGTTTCAAGTCCAGAGAAGAGTCCCTGAAATCAACCTCAAATATTTCCAGTGTGGCATTTGTGCTAAACGAAGCATCTAGTTGCTGGGCAGATGTTCCTAGTCACAAGAAAAGAAAGGAAGAGGCAGCAAATGAACAATATATGCGTGGATTTAGTTCGTGAATATGGCAGGGAGTCGAAAGCAAACAACAGGAGAGAGTTAGTATAGCCTTCCTCAAGAGCTAACCCCAAGGAAAGCATGAGAGGTCATCTGTAAGCCACGGTCCAAGGTGGTTACCAGGGACCCCACCTGACAACCCTACAGCTTCCTCTTGGGTTCATTAAAGTGGCCTAGATACTAAGGTTTCCTTTGACATACAACTTCCAGCAGCTCCTAATCCAAATTGCCATCATACCTGTGGCCAGATACACAGGGTACTGGCTGGCTGGGCTCCATGTCTGGACGGCTGGCCTCTCAAGTTCCTTCAACTTCATGGTCTGTTCTGAAGGTTGCAGAAAACATATATGGCCCTTGACTCACTGAAAATAGAGACCAAAGATCTTAGGGCCAGAGATCCAGGGAGCATCCGCAGACACAGGTATTGTCTCTCTTCTCCACAAGATGAAGTATTTCAACAAATGCAGAATGCAAAAAACCAGATCATCTGTGGAGTTAAGGGCAGTTCATTTATTTATACAATTGCTAAAATTGAATTCTCTGAACTCCCAAGGGTTTTTTTTTTTTTTGGGGGGGGGGGTTTCGAGACAGGGTTTCTCTGTGTAGCTTTGCGCCTTTCCTGGAACTCACTTGGTAGCCCAGGCTGGCCTCGAACTCACAGAGATCCACCTGGCTCTGCCTCCCGAGTGCTGGGATTAAAGGCGTGCACCACCACCACCACCACCACCACCACCACCACCACCACCGCCTGGCGAACTCCCAAGGTTTAATCACACTAGTTACCACAGGCCTAATGGTAACAGCCATCAAACTAACTAATTTCTCAGTGACTTTGCCTGATTTCTGTGGCTTTAAATATTGTTTGTGAGCCAATGAACCCCATATTTATGTTATTGACATACATTTGTCCTTGGAGCACCAATTTCTATATTAAACTGCTAATTAAACATTTCTACTTGTGATGCACATCTATAATCCTAGCACTTAAGGGGCTGAGGCATTAGGATCATAAATTCAGGCAATCGTGAGTTACATATATAGTAAGACCTTATCTAAAAAAAAATACACTCACAAATACAGCAAAGATATCTAAGATAGTCTAGCTACAACAGAATTTTCTGTCCTATGTCCCTCCACAATCCTCTGTTCTTCATTCAGCTTTCTTCGTTGTGATAAATGGTATTTCTACCTACCCAAGCTCTCAGCCCAGAAACCTGAAAATCACCCTTGGTCTCTCCTCCCATTTCTAATCCATCATTTCATCTCCCTGGTTCTAATGTCCTTTTTCTACAGCCAATGCCACTAGTCTATTTGAAGGTACCATAGTCTCTCACCCGTATTACTACAAAAGTCTCCAAATGATACTCTCCTTGCTGCCCATGGCATCATCTAATTCATTTTCCACATCGAAGAGTCACTGAACTCAAAAAATAGGATATTGGCATTCCATCATGAAATAAGTGACCTAGCACATGGAGACTAAATCTCAGGCTTCAGCTCACTGCTACATCTTTCTGGTTTTCCTCCTACGTATTGTTCCCCAGCCACACAAGTCTTTTTTCATCTCAGGGCCTCTGCCTACACTGGGGCCTTTGCAAACCCTGCTTCCCATATGCTAATGTTCTTCCTTCACTCTATGCATAGCTAGCTTTTTATAAATCTTTTTGGGTGAGCATCCAGTATCTTCAGAGGTGACCTGCCCAACCCCAAACAGTCTCACTTGTTCTCTTTCTCACAATTTATTTATTTACAGCCACATTGCAGTCTCTTCCACCAATAGGTAAGCTTCATAAAAGCCAGCATCATTTCTCACTGTGTTCTAACTACTGCTCAAACCTATGATTAATACAGAGAAAGTGGAGCTGGAGAGATGGCTCAGCGGTTAAGAGCAATGACTGTTCTTCCAGAGGTCCTGAGTTCAATTCCCAGCAACCACATGGTGGCTCACAACCACCTGTAATGAGACCTGGTGCCCTCTTCTGGCCTGTAGGCACACATGCTGTATTCATAATAAATAAATAAATCTAAAAAAAGAATACAGAGAAAGTGCCTGGTATCTCATGAATGAATGAATGATCGGATGAATGTAAATACTCATTTCACTTTTGTTTTGTTTCATCTTTTAAATATTTGTGTTTATTTCATGTGTATGAGTGTTTTGCCTGCGTGTATGTCTGTGCACCACATGGGTACCTAATGCCTTCAGAAGTCAGAAGAGAGTGTTGGATCCCCTGGAACAGGAGTTACGCAGTTGTGAGCTACCATGTGGGTGGTGGGAACCCACCCCTAATCCTCTTGTAAGAATGGTATGCTGCTGCCGCTACCCACAGAACCATCTTTTCTTTCCTGTTTCTTTCCGTTGGTGTGGGGCATGGTCTCACATAACCCAGACTAGCTTCAAATTTGCTATGTACCTGAGAATAATCTTGAAGTATGGATTATCTTGCCTCTAATTCTCAAGTGCTGGGATTACAGGTGTGAACCACCACACCACATTCATTTAACTCTGTTATTTCCACTTCTAATGTACATTCAGGGTCTCATCCTCACAGGCTCCCAAAAGTGCAAAGAGGTAAAGAGGGGAACTTAGAGCCTACTGTGATCTGCTTGAGCAAGCCAGTCAGGGTAGATCACCTATTAAAAACAGGAGATAATATTACTTAATCTATACTGTTCTTTCCAGCTTGAAGAGAGCTTAAAGCTGTCAGTTAGGCTAAGATTTTTCTGGGAACTTCTAAACACTTGAAGCTCTGCTTCTCTTGTCTTTGGACCAGCAAACCATACCATTCCGTCACCAGTGCCGCCTGCTGGTCAGAGCCATCCGGTACAGAAGAGCAGCGATCACCAACAGCGCATTTGACAGGTACAACTCATTAATTTCCCTCCAGAGTTCTATAAACTGTTATCCCCATTCTGCACAGACAACAACCGGCTAAGCCGCAATGTAAACCCCGTGCTTTTAACCACGATATTGATTTAAGCAAAAATGCCATGACATGCTTAAACCACTGACTGAAGGAACAGGGAAAATCCGCTTTCCATACAGTTTGCTCTGAGGCATCAGTTTCTAAAAAGCCCCCGCTAGGGTCAGAACGGCTGGGGTAGTGGACGGGTGGGATGGGGTCGGGGAACCACGACCTGGGCGCCAGCTACCCTTGGCAGTCCAGGCCCTAGGGAAGGTCAACACAGATTCTCGCCCGCCGACTGCCCTAGGAGACACTCCACGGTCAGTTAGGAATGGCCAGGGCTCCCGGCCGGGCCAGGTCAGGGCCGGGGTGGAGGAGCAGGCGCACGCAGCGCTTTTGGACCTTGGCGGGGCTGGGGACCCGGCGTGGCACGGGGAGCCGGACCGGGTCCAGTCGGAGGGGTTCGTTCTGGGTGCTCCAGAGGCACGGCGGCCCGGGCGGGGTCTCGGCGACTGGCGAGCTCCCCGATGACATCCGCGGGAAGAGCGGTGCTCCGGGGCCCCGGATCCGCGGGGGAAACCCACCTGTGCCCAGCGCCCGGGTTATGGGTCATGTCCAAGCGAAGGGCTTTAGGGCACATCGCACTGAGGACGGCGGCTGCCGAGGGCCAAAAGAACACTTGATTTGGCAGCGACCCGCGACCCGCTCCCTCCACTCGCTCCTTACCAAGCTTCGGTAACGCAAATAAGCACCGACAGTGCAGAGGTTTCCCAGCAGGGCTATCCTCACTTGCCCTGTGATTGCACAGTTCTGGCGCCCAAGATCTAATCTATTCTAGTCTAGTCTATTTGAGCCAGGCTCCATGGATAGCCTACGTATGGAAAACACTATTTCTATTTATTATGTAGTTATTAAAGCGAAGGAAGACTGGGCCCTTAGCCCACGAGCTCTCGGTGTGATCCATTTAGCTAAAAAGAATTTTAAAAAAAGCAATCGAGGCTGTAAATAGCAGTGATACACACTGAAGCCCACCAGTAGCGGTGTCCACAAACTGATTAAGGGCTGTGCGTGGAAGGAGAGACGACTGTTGACCAGGGGCTTCATGGAAGATGTCAGGCACATTTCAGGCGCACGACCATTACTCCTTGGAGCTGAAAGAACACTAGGTGATGTCAACAAGAGGTGGCAAAGTGGCTAGGCGTCCTGGCATTTTCCATCCCATCAATCAAAGACTGGGTGAGAATGGGCGCCGATAGATTGTGGAATACCATCTAATTATGCGGTTAAGAGGGAATTACTGAAAATTTTGGACCAGTGGCACAAGTGACGATTGCATTTTGCATCTGGGCAGTATAAATCCCCTTGGAGAGACAAGAGCTGGAAGCAGAGATCCAATTCCAAGAGGAATAGAACAGCCCAGGGACCAGGGAAGAAAGCCTGGATTAATAGTGGTGACTGAAGGAAAGCTCCACCGGCTCGGCTCTCCTGACTGATAAAGCTAAGGATTCAAGACTGCTGAGGCTTAGGGCATTTCTCAAGCTCGGGCCGAAGGGGTCACCCAAGGCCATCAGAAAACAGATGTTTACATTGATTCATAACGGTAGCAAAATTACAGTTATGAACCAGCAACGAAAATAGTTATGGTTGGGGGTCACCCCAACATGAGGAGTGTATTATAGGGTCGTAGCATCAGGAAGGTTGAGGACCACTGGTGTAGTCAGGGTGATTGTGGCACTGTTAACAGAGCTAGAGATCTGGAGGAAGAGGAAAGAGAATGTGAAGATATCACATATGCTTTTCAAGTTGAGGGAACTGTGGCAGGTATAGATAACCAAGTCAGTTGATTTGAAAGTTCACTTGATTCATGAATTGTATGGTAACCCCTACCTGACTCACTTCTGAATCTGGGGTGCGCATTACCTGATGACAGACTCGGTAGTTCTGAGAGCAGGCTGGAACCCACATCCGGCACAGGTGTGCCGGGACCATTCTTGTCACATACTAAGCACTTAAACAACCATTTCTGATGTCCTCGCACAGAAACAGGTAGACCGGGGTGGCGTCAGGGAATGAACAAGGTCAATGGCTGGCTGAACCTTAGGGCTGGGGATGTGGATCAGCTGGTCCAGGGCTGCTTACCCCATACATTTGGAACCCTGGTTTTATTTCCCAGCACCACAGAAACCAGTTATGGTGGTGGCTACCTTGTAATCCCAGTACTCAGAAGGTAGAGGCAGAAGGATCAAAGTTCAAGTCCTCTTCAGCTACACAGCAAGTTCAAGGCCACCTAGACTACATGAGACCCTGTCTCACTCACTCACACTTAAACACATACACACTGAACCTTGATCAATACCCTAAAATTAGGAAATAAAGCAGAAGTCTTAACTACACTGATGGAGTACTACAAAAAGAAATCTGAACTGAAGTCATAAGGTTCAATTACCAGCACCCACACTGCAGCTTCCAACTTTCTGTCTCTAGTCCCAAGTATCCGATGCCATCTTCTGGTGGTACAGACTTGTACATGCTTTCTTATGGGTCAGGTTTCCAAGTGAAATACAGTTAGGAAAATATTCTTTTAATCTCAGCCAGGGCTACATAGTAAGGCTCTGTCAAAAAGGCAAAACCCTAAACACAGAATGTTTGTTGGGTCACCTGAAAAAGCAGATGCATCGACACAGGGGAGTCACTGTCACTGGGAAAACTCTGATGGGCAGTGTACTCAGCTCATCTTTGGATGTCCCCCCAACACATTCTAATTTTATAAAAACCCAGAGATGATACTTATAGCATTTCTTTTATCTGCTGGAGTTTCAAGCACGAACCACCATGTTTTCCTTCTGCTAATTCTTAGCCTCCTTGAAGTTGAACAGACATGTGCTTGGGTTGCCCGGAAGCCCGTAGTACCCACTCTTCAGTGGTCAGTCACACCAGTCAGGTCTACTTGCCATGGGCCTTACTGCTTAGTCCCTAAGACTGCATATGTGGTTATGTTGTAGATTATTCAATGACCACCCTGATGACTATTATTGCTTCCTTATAAACCTCAATCTGATCACTATACTTTTTAATCCTTTTTTAATTTTGTGTTTTGGTTTTTTTTGAGACAGGATCTTACTATGTAGTCTTGGTTGACCTGAAACTCACTGCATAGACAAAGCGAGCCTCCAACTCAGACATCCACCTGCCTCTGGTCTCCATGTGCTTGGATTAAAAGCATGTGCCAGCACATCCAGCTTTTGTTTTCATTTTTTAAATGAGTGTTTACCTGAACGTCTTTGTACCATATGTAGTGTCCCTGGAAGACAGAAGATAGTGTGTGATTCCCCTGGGACTGAGTTACAGACAGCTGTGAACCACCATATGGGTTCTGGGAAATGAACCCAGGTCCTCTGGAAGAGCAGCCAGTGCTCCTAAACATTAAGCCATCTTTCACTCACTTTAAATTCTTGAGACAGCATCTCATTATGTAGCCCTGGCCAGCCTAGAGCTCAAGAGATTTGCCTGCTTCTGCCTCCTGAGTGCTGGGATTAAAGTCATGTGACCAATCACTGTAGATCTGAGAACTTTGTGCAACTTCCAAACAAGACACCTAGAAGTCAGTGTTGGGGTAGTTCTCAGTAACATCGCTTGCATAGTCTTTGGTGATACCTGCATATGATTTTTATTTGTGGCTGACAAGGTATGTTTTAAAAAATTTTTAAGAAAATAGAGATGAATTCTGACAGACAATCAAAACCGTAGCTTTTTTCTAAGGCTGTCACAGGAGCTTGGATGCATCCCTTAATCCACAGTATAGGCAATGTTAATTTACTAAGAAGCTGTTTCAGACATCTCGCTTTGAGAGGAGGAATGCAGAAATGCCCCAGCCTTAGAGCAGTCCCTCCCCAGCTATCCCATCATATACTTGAAACATTACTTTCTTTTAAAACCTAACTATTATTGAAGAGTTTAAATAAACAGTCTTACTCTACAGTTCAGGATAGCCTCACACTCACTACACAGCCTAGATCAGTCCTGAACTCAGAGATCCTCCTGCCTCAGCCTCCAGAGTGCTGGGGTGAGAGGCATGCACCACACGTCTTTTAAACCTAACAATTGTTAATTAAAAGGTTCAGGTTGTTCTGACTTTTATAGCCTCACGATGTACCCAGGCTGGGGTCAAACTTGCACAACCCTGCCTCAGCTGCCTATGCTATCACGGGCGTGCTCCACAAACGTGGCTTTAAAGGAAATACTGTCCAAACTGGGAAGTCCGTCCTTCTTTGGCCCTTCCCTACCTGCGGTACAACCTGCAGCTCTCAAGAACCTTCAGAGCCCCAGAGGAACCAACTACTATCTTCTGACGCTCCGATCTCAGAGCTGGTAGGCAGCAGGCAGAGAGAAAGCACAAAGGTGAGGCTCTCACAGCAGTGACTAGTCCTGGGGAAATGAGGCACAGGAGCTGCAGTACGGAGCTTTATTAGGATTCCATTAAGGTTAAACCTCGAGGAATGAGGGAATCCTAGTTAGAGGGCACAAAAGCCCATGAAGCCTCCTCAGATCTCATAGTGAACCACCGGCTCAGGTTCTTTGGAAGGATCACCGCCTTTCTCCAGGTACAGGTTGTTGTAAGGGTACTGCTTCGGCCCCTAAAGAAGAAAACAAAACCAAAAACCACACAGGTCAGCAAGATCAACAGCCAGCCGGCCAATACCTGACTACACCCTACTCTAGTTAACGATGCTGCAGAGCAAATGGGTGAACAGTAGCCTCTGGTCAGACCCAGCTGAGCTAACGTGGCAGAAGCAATGCTCCTGGCCCCTGCTCGCCCACAGCAGAGAAAGCCTCAATTGTAAGGGAAGTGGTGCCTGCCCTGCAAGTGAGGTGGGGAAGGGGGACGTCCGAGCCAAAGCTTTCTAAATGAGACGATGCATCCATCCATCCTATTCTCTCGGGGTCGAGACAGACTCAATCTCCTGTAAGTCACTCAGCCTCTAATGGTTCCACCACTAAAGTGGCCTGGCAAATGAGGCGTGCAGGAGCAGCGGTGGGGGAAGCAGAGGAGACATGGCTGGGACATGCTCTAGGAGCGCCGGCTTCACCAGCAAACGGCCGCCAGAGGACACAGCTCACAGGGAGGAGAGGAGGGTGACGTGCTCACAGAACTGAGAGACGGAAGAGCCACACTGTCCCTCGCTCTCCTGAAGTGAGGTCAGTGCTCACCACAGCCCCACATGCTCTCAGCAGAGTCCCTGGGCTGGGCAAGAGGGCTGGTGTCAGTGCGCACGGCGTCCCAGCCACCTTCAGGACACTATCTCTGCAGAGGGAGCACCGGCAGCCGACTGCAAACCCTGCAGCTTCTCTGCCTGCGGCTCTCTTTCCAACACACCCTGGAGACTACTCC